CAGTTGCATGGTGATAGAAATTCTTATTGAACACAAGGATATTATTCCTCAAAGCGAGAGCAGTTCAGGCCTTGAACAGATGCCTAGATGTCAAATTACCCTTCATGGAGATGGTCGGAGCTCTCCTGGAGGCGGCCTTGAGCCACCTGAATGAACTATCCTTGGCTGCAGTGCAAGGAGGAAGCCTGGACCAGACAACCCCCTAAGATCCCTTCCAACCTAAATTATTCTACAGTTCATTATTTCATTCTGGATATTATTTTCCTGAAGTTAAAACATACTTTAAAATGCCTTTTATAGTAACATTCCTTCCAACAATTACTAGACATTGGCACGTTATTTTATGTGGGTATCTAGCAGTGCTCTGGCATGCCAGAAGAAAGAGACGCACCACATAAAACAGCACAAGAGCAAAGGATATAATTCCTCACAAGCAATACTACTTTTTATGTTGGAAAGATATTTCACAATTGAAGAAAAACTGTGAGATGAAATCCCTAGTCTTCAATTGCTTCAGAATATTTTAAATGATAACATTAAAATAGTATAAATACATATTATTTATATTTACTACAAATATTCTTTATATTTAATAAATAAGCATTAAAATGTTCTCCCTTACATGTTCTCCCTGAGCATGAATTTTGGTATGTGCAAGAAAAAACTTGTGGAAAAAATGACCAGATAATAGTAAGAAGCCTTAAAAAAACATGGAAATCAGGACCATTTGGAAATTGAAGTCTTATGAAGAAATATATACACCTATGCCCTTCTAATCTTGTGGTGGCTATTGTAAAAAAAATAAAGAAAAAAAAAGTTATTCAGCTCTCAAAAGACTGTAAATACTAATTTCAGTTTCAATCATATGCAGTAAGCTGAGGCATCATGTTGTTTAGAAGCTTTATAAAAATTATGCTCAACATTATTAACGAGATTTAAAAAAAATCACTTGGAGTCCTTAATAGCCAAAATAGTATTACAAATATTTATATACACTGCTTTCATTGAAGAAAGAGTTTATGTAAGTGCTACACTGATCAAAATGATTTTATAGCCACATCTGTTTTCATTTGTTTTGCATTCATACTGTATTACTTTAAGTGTTTCAATATTATGGTATACCATATTCTGACTGTGTACTGATAGGACCATCTGTTTGTCTCTATCACGCAAACAATCAGCAGAACTGAAAAGTCCAGTGTGTGCTAAGAAAAAAAACCTGCAGTCCGGTTACCCCAGAGTATATCAACAGCAAACCATATTTGTTCGGGCTGGTGCCCTCCAGGATTTACCCCATCAACTCTAGGTGGCCCCACGCCATTTGCTGCCACCTCCGTCTCTGCTTCTCTACCTGACTTCATTTCCAATTCAAAATTCCATCAGAAAACATACACCACCCTCATACTCCTACATCTTTAAGCTTCTGTCCAGTTTCCCACACAAAAGTTTAAATTTACCAACCTCACATGTCCCTTTTTCACTCTCCTGCTACATGTTTTGCACCATTATGTGTAATATGTTGCTTTTTCAACACAGCAAAGGAAGGTTCTGGTCAGAGAGATGTTTTGATGGGCAGGGTAGAAAGGGGGGTACTGACTGATAGGTCTCAGGCAGCAGCTTCTCCCATGATATATACAATCTACATTTCAGTTTTGTTGCCAAAGGGGAAAAAAAATCATGGCCAATCCATGTGAAACCTGTTATCTGCATCCTGTTACCACAGACCTACAGAAAACCACTGTACGGACAATTTGGCGTAGTATGCGTTTATGCACCCACGAGTGATTTTTCTATGCTCTTGAAAAGCCTGCACATAAACTAACAACTCTTTAAAATACTTCTAAGTTGTATGAGAAAAGAAAAAAAAAAAAAAAAAAGAGAAATATACTTCTGTGATGTTTCCTCAACATGATTCCTTTTTGCCTTTACATAAAGAAATAATGTACTGATTTGCATACGTACAATTGAACATTAGTTTTCTGAGTATGGCATGCTGTTTATGGCAACCACTTCCTCAGACTTTATTTCTTTGTTTCAATCAGTCCACTTATAATCAACATTGAAAATTTTTACAGAGGCAGTGGAAATTATAAAGTTGTTTATATTTTTGCATTCAGTTTACTATGCATTGTAACCACTTCTAGTTTAGATAGATAATGCTTCTGAGAAATCAAACAAAATGAAGATACAATTCTAAAACTCTGTGCAAAGCCCGAATTCTTCAGACTATGTGTGGTGTTCTATAATAAAAGCATATGTAGCACCTTTGATCAGCGACAGCCATAATGCTTTAATGCCAAGCATGAAAATGAAAAGACTGTAACTTTTTCAAAAGATAAAATAAAATTTAAGAGCAACAAAACTTGTAACATGGAGTGCATCTCAGCTGTGTACAACTGAGCTTGTTTAAATTTGCTTTTAAAAATCACCAAGATTTGGTAACTACGCAGAGTAATTTAGGCTTGAAGGGGTGTGTAGAGGTCATCTAGTTCAGCCTCTTGCTCAAAGCTGGCCCGGGGCTGTGTTTGATCAAGTTCAGACCATCTCCACAGATCGAAACTCCACAGCCTCACCAGACACCCTGTTCCAGTGTCTGACCATGCTTATGGTGGAAACATTTTCCATTATGTCAAATCAGAATTTCCCAGCTCATGCCCAATGCCCTTCACGCTATCACTGTGCACCACCCGGAAGAAAGGCCTTGCTTTGACATTAGCAAGTCCAACTCTGAAACACAGGCAATGATCTCGTTCCTGCTCCTTTGTTGCATGAATCATTCTACAGTTCTCACTGAAACTATCAGGTGCCATCATTTTTTGCATAGGACTCTCACATCTTTCCAGGTCTGATGAAAAGTACTTGTGTTGCCAATAATTTTCTATATCATGATAGAATTTTATGAGGTTAAAAAAATTCCTGAAACCCAACAGGAGAAGGAGTAAGAATAAGATGTAAAAGTCATTCTTAAGGTGTGCTCTACCAGAGTTCCAAAACCAGAAGATTTCAATCCCATCTTGTTTCTGCAAGGTAAATAATTGTTTTGATTTTAGGAAAAAAAAAGCTAACTCCTTACTTCTACTTAAGCAAGTCTGTGACTTTCTATGATTTGTCAAAATTAACCTTGTGAAGACAATCTGTGTTAACAGAGCCCAATTTAACCTAAGACAGCAAATATCACTAAAGTCTATTAGAATGGTCACAGGTATTAGGCAAAAAAAAAAAAAAAAAAAAGTTATTTAGGTTGGAAAACTGACAAAATGGAAAAAAATAACTGATAGATTGTGACCAACCCTCACGGGAATATTTTCTAACTTTTCAGTATTTTCTACATAAAAATTTTTGTTTCCACATATTTTTTTTAATGAGGACTAATTAAAGAACTCTTAGAGGCAAAAGAGCATTCTCCTCCTGTTGTTCAGAAGAGGGACCATGGCTTCATTTTATGTGAGTAGGATGTAGGGAATAAATCTTCCACTCACCTCAACTTTCTCTTAACTCTCTTAAAGATACTACGTAGCCGCAGGAATGGCAGCTCTACAACTATAGAATGAATAGGCAAGCTTTTACTGAAGTCAAATGCTTCAGGATTTATTTTCCAAAGCCAAGAACACATCTCAGTGCATATAACAAACAAATCTATATTCGTCTTGGCAGTCATAAATGAAACAGACCAAGGCAATATTGGAGAAAATTATTAGTATTATAAAAAACAGCTACAGCTCATTTATCTCTCCACAAAAAAGCAACCCTACTTTGGTACTATGACATTTTATGAAATGGGAAGTATCATACTAGTATTCATGAGTACTATTACCATTTTGGTTTCCCTTGTACGCTATGATTTAATCTTGAACATTAGTGCTAAGCTGCCTTACTGACTGAGATGTCTTCATGCTGATATCCCATAATAAAGTCTTGTGCAATTAAGACATATTTCAACACGAAATGGATTTCAGCTGGAAGACAGGAGAAGGGAGAGCGATGCTTCCCCCTATTAGCGAGTTTTAGGCACTGTTATTCTGGGATGTTGCTCCCTCCATGTACACAAAAACATACCATTTGCATGTTTCTCGAACACCTTCACACGCTGCCTCTGCAGCTGTGACCCCAGTACCTGCCATCAGCCCAGACCCTAGTTAAGCTTCTTCCATACTGCCAACTGCTGCCAGGATAACGACTGTGGGAAAACAAAGCCCCATTAGTTAGATGGGACTTCTTTTACCTCCTAACAAACCTTAACGCCTCACAGGGTTGCCTAAAGGAGCCCTTTCCTCCATGATGTCTCTGCTCCTTCTGACAGCCAACTACAGAGACCCTGGACAGCCAGGGTATTTACTAACCATCAAGCATCGTGAGTAGGGAAATTTGGTGCATGTGCTTGTGCACTATTGAGTGTGTTTAAAATCCTCTTGTTTCTTGATCAGTCATTTTGAGCTCTGACAAGTGACTGGTATTTTTTCATCAGTTTTCCCCTGGGTGCATGCAGAAGGTCAAGTAGAAAAGTGAGTTTGGAAGAAGTGACCGTCTCAGGTCCCCAGTTCAACTTCACATTTAAACCCAAGCTTTGCACTGATGGAAACAACTACCTATAATACTTTATGAACAAGCAGAACACGGAGAAAAAAAACAAACCAAACCAAACCTCAGAGATTAATTACCAGTATTTATTTTGCATTCCTGTTCGGTTTGGTTTTTTTTTTGTTGCCAGGATAACACAAATCAAGGTCTTTGTCTGAAAAATATTTGATAAAGATTCTCCAGTATAGCTCTTTGTTGTTTTATCTCTTTACCTTGCAACTGCAGATGGTTTGATCTTTACAGACACATATCAAACCCTTCCAACCTCAACCATTCTATGACTCTGTGATTATTATGGATAGCATTAAAGCTTCAATTAGTAGGAACAAACATAGTCAAGTAGATGATCACGTACTTTTTCTTTTTTTTAATGTTTTTTCCCCTTTTTGTTCACAGATATTGTTAAGGAAAACTTATTACTTACCCAACATTTTCTGCATCTTCATCACACTCAGCCCTATATTTGCAAACTCCACATTTTGAGTGTTTTCTCTGAACTTCTGTCCCAGATCCTTCATACTCTAAAAAGGAATAAGGTATTGTTAGCAGAAAGCATGATTTTCATATTAAGTTCTGATTTTGCTTACCTACATCCATTTCCCTTCAGGTATATTGTCAACATGAAGTTACCGTATACTGAAGCTATTAAGCTTAATAGTGTTCCCTTTTTCAAAATCAGATAATCAGAGTTTGGTAGAACTGTACCAGTGACAAGAAGGTATCCCTGAAAACACTAATGCTTCATTGATTGACTCCTCCTTTATTTTTGTTTCAGTGATTTGCATTTATTCTCACCCCAGCAGACACAAAACTGGTATTAACATGTATCCCAGTCATATTTAATCTTAATAGGCACAGATAACATGTAAACCCTGTGCCTTTTAATGTCTTTGAATATTAGGCAGAGGGGATTTGAATGCTATTTTCTTTGACAGTCTTTAATTACATATACTCTTAAGCAATGTTACTGCTTTCATTTTTTCCCCTTTATCTTTCCAATAATGGGATTAGACTGGGTTTATATCTCATATATGCTGTGGTATATTTTCCAGATTACTCTGATTAGTTGCACAAGACTACAAGAAAAAATTCATCTTAACAAGAAACTAGTAGAAATGCTATATCCTCTAAAAAGTAACATTAATATCTCAAATAGTCTGTTCCTAATAACTTCTGCACCAATCTTACTGTTCACATGGACATCAAAATTCACCGACTAAAAGAGAAATAAACTATAGTCTTACTGTTTCACTGCCATCAGGGATAAAGGGGAGCTAGATGTTTTAAAAGAAGGAAAAGAACCACAGAAGTCTGCAGAGGGAGTTGAGAACCATTTAACACATCACGGTATCATGGTGGTGCACGGCTGACTGCACAAGGCTGTCGGATGGACAGAGATCAAAGTGATTCTCTGTCACAGCAGCTTTATGTGCTGTAGCAACAGCAAATCAAACACCATCAATTAAACAGCTGCATTTACATTCTTTAAATGTAAATAGGAAAAAGAAATACACAACAGTCCTTCCTAATTTTCCTGGATTTTGGCTGAAGAGAGTCTGTCCCTCTTCCCTGTGGGACTGTGCTTACATGAAGAATAGAATCACAGAATCATAGAATTGCTTTGGTTGGAAAAGACCTTTAAGATTATTGAGTCCAACTGAAGAAATGTGCAGGTAAGCTTCTCAAACTAACTTCTGTCTAAAGCATGCTGTGCATTTTTCAAAGATTAACACATATCAAACTTTATTACAAAATTCCTACTGCAGAAATTCTATCAACACTCTTATTAAGTTGCAGTAGAGGTCATTTGCTCTTATCTTTACTAACGTATATCTTATTTGATCTTTCCTTCTTTCTAAGCCCTAAAGTGTCCCTTAGTGTCAGATTTCACTTTTCCATGCCAATAAATGATCCCCTACAGTTTGAGTAAGTTAAACAAATGGCACTGCTCATGGTTTTTATTCATGGTATTTCCACTTCTTTTCTTGTTCTTATGACCTTCGATGCCCTTCTCCAGCATGTTAACACCCTCTGGAGTTAGAGGTACAAGAGCTGGACACACTGCTCCAGAAGAGATGTCCTCAAAGCCAAACACTGTTTATTATATACTTCAGTTAAAACATCCAATAATCATTAATTTTTGACCATTTGTCTGCTCTGACCACTATTCTACATATTCACTTTATTATCTAACTTATTCCCCAATGAGTCCTTTTCAGGGCTGTAGGAGAGAGGTGGACATCCAGGAAAAATCACCTAGATCCTGAACTTGCTACATATAACTGTTCTCAGACATGAAAATCCTGCCTGCTTTTGCATTGTGTTCGCTCACTGACCTGTCCTCTGTCGCCTAGAACTGATCAGTACCAACTGATTTGCTCCCAGGTCACCAGTGGAAGGGGTCACAAGGCCAAGAACAGTCCCTAGAAACATACTCATTTGTAAGGATTCTTTAACATTTAATGATCCATTGATTGGCAATATTTTTGCACGAGATGTGCACTGTGTGGATGTCGTGCCCTCTAGTTACTTAGACTTGTGTGAGAGATTGCCTTTGACTGAGAAAGGTTATAGTTTTGAGGTGGTGCACTTACATAAAATGTTCTGTTGTACAAATGTCTTTCTTGAAAAAATGAGTTTAAAAAAAAGTAAATTTCTCAATAAAGGTTTTCCATGAACCTATGATGACCGGCATTAACTATCTTCCCCTCCCTTAATTCTGTACTCAGTTGATTTTTCCACCATCTATTCCACTGCATTGCTTCTGATGGATGCCAGAATAAGAAACTGTAGCTCCCTCGATAATCACACTTATCTTTCCTCAAAATATTTGTAAATTATTTCTCATTGTTCTACTGAAGAAAAAGAGACCAAAAAAGTAATCATCAGCCCAGAGTTCTTTACCACTCAGTTTTAAATCTTTCACATGCAAATCAGCCAGACCTCCTGGTTACAAGACACCAGTCTTCAATATTTGGAACTAAATATCCTTTTGCAATACTGCTAGCATGAAAAATACTTCATCATATCCTATATATACACTATCTGACTTGACTACAAATACAACCAGGATGCTTTACAGAGCACTTTTTCTGCACTATTATCATTTCAATTTTGTAATGGAGCTGAAGAAGCAACACACAGACACACACAAGCACACATGCACACCTTATCAGCTTTAGTTCTGAGTCCTGTGAATGCCTGGCACCTTTCATTTTCATAAACAGTGGCCCACAATACTTGTTTATTGTTTCTATATGCTATTCAGTGTAAACTTCTCTCTCTCTCCTTCCCCCTGCCCCTAAAATTGCTTTCTCTAATTTTTAAATTAGATTTGGTTTAGAAAATTGTGGTCTTTTTTTGTTGATCAGAACTTGCTGGACCTCATGTATACAGAATTATTTGTACTTTATTTTGTTTGCATATAATATATACGTGCAAGTCAAGAACACCTGCACCTCAGGTACTAATAATTTACACCTGTCAGGATGAGGTGCAATACAGATTAATGTGTATTGATGCACCATTTCCAAGTTAGGCAATAGTTTTAATTTTTAGAAGCTTCCTTCATTACCAGCTGCACAATGTTTCAGTACTAGCAGCAAGAGATACTGAATATAATTTAGACTGAAGTCCTTGAAAAAAGTGCAGTTTTTCCCACCAGTACAGAGTAGATAAATACTGGTTTTAAGCCTGAATTGGTAGCAGACATTTTCAGTACCCCACTTGTGCACTGTTAAAATAAGTTAACCCATTAATATTTGAGAGCATAAGTTTCTCTGGTGCAAATGTCTCCAAATAGGCAATGCATCCTTTGACAGATTGTCCCACCCTTCTCCTTTCTCCCCCACATTAGACTGTTCCTAAATAGGTTATAGCCATTAATTTTAATATTCCAATCAATCAGATTTTCCCAGCAGGTTTCAGTAATATCAATTAGGTCACAATGTGCTCCTAAATGAGCAATTCAACTCCTCTTGTTTATTATGCAGGCTTCTAATGCTGATGTATAGATGATTACAGAATTTCTTCTCACTTTCATTGGTATCTTGATTAATTCTGTTCTTTGACATCTTAATTTCATGTTGAGTGAAAGCTCATTTTCCCTCTCTTTTCAGCTTCTTTTTGTGTTTCAGGGCAGCACCTCATTAATGCTCTATCTTTCAAAATAAAAGAGGCACAAGGATGGGATCTGTGACTCCCAGTTGTCTCCCTGAGCTGCACTGCTTCCTAACACTTCTCCTTGAGTCATTATTCCTCTGCAGAAGATGGTCAGCTATATCTTAGGAGCTGCAGGGTAGGAGTCTGCAAACAGGCAGTAGAGCTAGAGGAATTGTCCAGCAGTAAATTGCTTCCCTCGGCAACTCATTTGTGTGTTTCTACAACGGTAATATGGCCAGCTTTCTGCTGAGGGCTTTCAATCAGGTCTGAAGCAAAAGCATCAGTCTGTGCCAAGGTGAAGTTTGGTCTGCCCCAAGGCATGGCCTGGAAAGGGAGCTCTGCTGTAGATAAGTATTTATCACTGTTCCCAGTGAAGCAGAGGCAGCCTGTGGAGAGCTGCAACTACTCAGTAGCCACGTATAGGTGGAATAAATACTCCCTTGTCTGGGAAAGCCTCTTCAAAAACCAACTCCTATCCCTAACTGTTTTGGGAGTATAGTGATTTTTACTGATGTGCTATCCCACGGGAGCAACTAATCTCAAGAAGAATTTGGAAAGATAGGAAAGGCAACAGCAAATCCCCTTCTGCACCCTAAAGTACAGAAGAAGTCCCCTGTGATTAGACTGAGATGCCCTCAGTACAGCTAGCACTGGAAATTCCTCTCAAAATACTACAGTCCACAGCACCACATGTGACGGGCTGAGCAGTTTAGTGACATCCTCTCTTCCACTAACTTTTAGGGCAACTTTAATGACACACTTAGTTAAAATGGAGCTTGTCCCTGTAATTCAAAACAAAGCTGCAAACTTTGTCCTTTGTCTGTAAGTATACATTTAAAACAAGTGCAACAACTACTCTTAGCTATCCCAAATTCTTGGCAAGCAGTGTCTTGAAAATGACAAGAATGGCCATTACAGGTTTGACACAAGGATGTCTGGCCTATTTATGACTGAGGTGCCTGGAGGAGGGGAGCTCAAATTTTAATAACCTAATCACAGCCCAGCCAATGTGATATATTTGCCCAGTAGTTATGATAATGATAGCATGTGCACTTTTAAACAAAGGACTTGAGGACGTGTACAGTAAGACTCCCTACCACCACTACCATTTTTATCTGTTAGGTATTTTACAGATTCAGCAACTGTAACTTCTATTTAGCTTCTATGCATATGACACCATGAATAATGGTGGGGAAAGCAGGCCAAACTGCAAGAGCTGGATCAGCTTTTACACTGCAGTACCCTCTGGCTGGAGAACTCAAGTACCCGTTCCCTCCAGTGTCTTGCTTAAATGCAGCTAACTCCTTATTCTCCAAAGGAAGATACAACAACTTCAGAGTAACCACCAGGGAAATTATGC